ATGTATATTCTGTATTAAAGGAGAATGAATTCTTCAGTTTTGACATAGCATGTGTTCTGCTAACTTACCTCATGTGTATGGTGTTTCTAAGTTGTATGTTTCTTCTGTTTTGCTTCCGTTCATGTTTTGAATTTTCACATTGAATATTTTTAGATGGGACAAGAGGAGATAAGTGCCAGTGGAACTTCCTACCTAAATAGAACTGAGGCAGCAAATGTAGAAAAAATTGTGACTACTTTCTTAAGGAGTGGTGTAGTCCCTAGTCAGGTACATTAGTTGTCATCTTCGGTTGTTAGGATGATACTCTTTTTTTTTTTTTTTTTTTTTTTTTTTTTTTTTTTTTGCTATATACTGATTTTTNTAGATTGGAGTTATCACACCGTATGAGGGACAAAGAGCATACATTGTGAACTATATGTCAAGAAATGGTGCTCTCAGACAGCAACTTTACAAAGAAATTGAGGTAATACTCGTAAAGTGATTGCAGATATCCTTGCTACAAGATGCAATTTTGCACTGTTTCTGTTAACAGGTTGCAAGCGTGGATTCATTTCAAGGAAGGGAAAAAGATTATATCATATTGTCATGTGTGAGGAGTAATGAACATCAGGTTAGTTACTACTAAAACATTTTCTGGTGTAGCTACTGTGTTTTTCAACTGAAACTTCGTTTGCGAACTCTTAGATTACCCATTCCTTCCCTTTAATTATCTCCCCATGGATGTGGGGTGACATATGAAGCTTGGTTCTACTGTTTTGTTGAGAGTATAAAATGGGTTCTGAAATGAGATTATCGGATACAGATATTTTGATACAAGGTTGTTCTATATATGTTCACTGGAGAAGGTAGTTATATCTATCTTTTATGCCTTTTGTGGCTCACCGATTCAGTTGAAAATAGTAGAAGTGTACACTTTCTGATTGCTGTACGTATATCCTAGAAAGAATGTGACAAAACTTTTAGATGTTTAACATTTTAGTTTGTGGATCAATTATTTAGTTTGTTATTGTTCTCATTTTTTCTTTCAACAAGGTTGTCATTCTGGAGTAACTACTAAAGCCTATTCCTTTTAGGGCATTGGATTCCTTAACGATCCTCGCAGACTCAATGTGGCTTTAACACGAGCTCGATATGGTATTGTCATTCTTGGAAACCCAAAGGTTTTGAGTAAACAACCACTATGGAATAGCTTATTAACACATTACAAGGTATTTTGTTCTCAACTAATATGTTTATATGGAATTTCTGTAAGTTATTGGAACCTCCTTCCGATGCAACATTAGTTATTGAGGTCCTTGATTTATTATGACATATTTTCATCTTTCATGTTTAAGCCTTTGCTGTGTTTCTGACTTGCTATCATCAATGTCTGGCAGGAACATGAGTGCTTGGTTGAGGGTCCTCTGAATAACTTAAAACAAAGCATGATTCAGTTTCAGAAGCCTAAAAAGGTAGACCGTTGTTAAATTTTTATTATTTTAATGCTGCGATAGATAGGGCGAGACTCCCTTTTTTTTGGGGGGGGGGGGGGGTAATGTTCGTTGTATGTTGTTGTGTTCTTTCATTTTTTCTTCATGGAAGTGTGATTTCTTACCTAAAAAAATTTATGCTGCACATGCAGATATACAATGATCGCCGCCTTTTCTTTGCTGGTGGGCCTGGAGTTCTGCCCAATGATAATTTTGGACCTGTTGCCCCATCTGGCTCTAATGCTGATAGAAGAAGTGGTCGTGGTAGAGGTGTGTTTTCTCTGTCTGACATTTAACAATCTTCAAAAGTGTGCGCAACTTCATATTGCAGAAGTTCTTAAGGATGCACGTTGAGTATATGGCTCATTTCTGACCATGTAGATTGTGCTTTTTGATGGCATGCATCACCTCTATTGATGGGTTCTCTTTTGTCCTTTTATTTTATTTTATTGGTTGACTACTTAAATCTTATACCTTGTTCAGGTTCGTACTTTCCTCCTCACCTGCCCAATGGTGCCCAAAAGCCTGGAGTGCATGCTTCTGGTTATCCCATGCCAAGAGTTCCCATCCCTTCATTTCATGGTGGTCCTCCGCAGCCATATGCAATCCCAACTCGTGGAGCTGTGCATGGACCAGTTGGTGCTGTTCCTCATGTTCCTCAACCAGGAAGTAGGGGTTTTGGGGCAGGACGGGGAAATGCGGGTGCTCCTATTGGTAGCCAGCTTCCAAATCAGCAAGTCTCTCAACAAAATATTGAAAATATTGGTTCCACTTTTAACTTTCCTGGTTTGGAGAGTCCCAATAGCCAACCATCAGTGGGTGGTCCATTGTCTCAACTTGGCTTTGTTAACAATGTGTGTATTTTCTCTCCCTCTCATACTATCCACCTTGATGGTTACCTTATGTCTTAAAAGTATCTTTGTTTCAATAGATGCCTGTTCAGCCACCTAACCAGACGTTTCGTGAGGGGTACTCCATGGGAGGAATTTCTCAGGTAGTAATTGGTGTTTAATATGTTCAGTTTTGCTGTGTTGGTATGATATACTTTTCTTAAGTTATATATGTGATTACAATCAGGACTTCTTGGGTGATGACTTTAAAAGCCAGGGATCGCATGTTCCATATAATGTTACTGATTTCTCCACACAGGTACTTTCTAGACCATGCCTACATGTGGAATATTTCTTGCTTGATTTGCTTGCAATAGCGCTCATGTTTTATTTCAAAGTTGAGGAGTATTTTGTATAATTTAGCCTTTATATTATTATATGTGGATGTATGATATTATTATATGTGTGGATATATGTTAGATTAATCATGAAATGGATGTGTTCCTTTGGTACAAATTGGATGCTAAAATCAGAAATGAGAGCAATCAATTGTTTGCTCTATCTTACCAGAGAAACAATAAACCATTCGGATGTTTAGGGATGTCGAACTTTTTTGTGATTTACCTTAGTAGCTTGGAATCTTTTGTTTCTGTTTTTTGGTGGATGGTGGATGTGTCCAATTAACTTTTAATAATCTCTTTTGGTTTACCTGTAGGCCTCTCAAACTGGATATGCCATTGATTATGTTAGTCAAGGAGCACAGGGTGGCTTTCCAGGGAGCTTCCTGAATCAGAATTCTCAATCTGGATATTCCCGTTTTGGAACAGGAAACGATTTCATGTCACAGGTTTTCTTCTTCCCTTTTTCATTCTTTGATTTGATATCAAAAGTTTCCATTGGCTTTTAATCTACATCTGTCCCACAGGATTACATGAATCATGGTTCACAAGGTCTATTCACGCAAGTTGGTTTTAGTGATCCTTCACTAGATGAAGCCTCTCAAAGTCACTATAACGTGGCCAATGCAAATCCACTACAATCCCAGGTTTCTCTTAATGCTTTGACGATGCTTTGATGCTTATGGTCAAATTTTACTGAATAATAGGGTGTGGTAATGCTTGGCCTGATATAGCTCCTCACAAGCATTATCATCAAACAAGTGGGGAGTCATCAATTCGCTATGGCCAAGTGTTACTCATTTCAATCCGTCCATTTTTTTCTTCTCTGGTTGGCGCTTTTTTTTCTTCTTTTGTCGCTGAAAAAAAAAATGATAATTTTTCAGCAGGGGATGATGAACTCTCTCTACTCCCAGCCCTTTGCACATTACAACACACAGCCCTCTACCGTGCAGGCCCCACCACAGCTGCCTCAGCAGCAGGGCCAGAGCTCTCAAAATCAGAAAATTCACTTTAGTGGTTGAGAGGGTGTAGGAGGGATTCACAGCGGTGATGGGTAGTCTTCGCATCCAGCAACTTGGTGTGTGCAACTGTCTGTCTCTTGGTTGCAGAAAAGCTTGCCATTTCTTGGTCAGTATGATTATTCTATCCACTGCCATTGTTGGTAACAAACATGTGACTTGGCAATCTATTAGTACTCGAGAGTGGACGAAAGGACGGTCAGCAAAACAAGGGAGGCACATCCAGGGCTGAGAAAGAAAGATAAACCCATACCTACTTGAGGTTTTGTGTTAATGAATAAAAACTACAAATGTTATTTTGTGCGATGGAGCACTGCATGGCACAGTTTCGGCGGGGAAGAAGGGTTCATAATACATACATAGGATCGGAAACATTGTGTAATGTGTAAATCTGGTGCAACTGATTCATTAAATTACAGAAGCAGCAGCAGCAGCAGCAGTAGTATGACATTTTTGTACAGCAGCAGCAGCAGCAGCTGGTGAAAACTTGCCTTGATCATCCTTTCACCTCTCCGTGACGTGTACCTGTACTCTGCTTTATCTTTTGATCAAGTAGAAGATGGCTATAGACTATAGGAAGTAACTAATATCTCTTTCTTTTGCCGAGTGACTGCTACTACCAGAGGAATGGATGTATTTTATATGGTATACATCTCCGGGCTTGTTAGATTGAATTATACCAAATACCACATGCCACATACTGAGCTCCATTTATGAAGTCCCATCTTTAATGCATTTTGTTTATTTAGCTTATCTTCATTCAAGGATAGGTGATATGGTAAAGAAATTTAGGCTATTTTTACTTTGATCTTCTATCAAGCATGCCAACTTATACATTCTTTACGTGCTTTTTTTCGCTATTGAAATTTAAAATTCTATTGCTGAGGATAGCTAGCTTGAACAGAAATTTTTGGTTGATGCAATTGAATATTGTGTTTGGAGATGGAAAATAGAAAATGTCTGAAATGGCAGTTGACCTCCTCGCAATGTTGATCGAGTGGAGTTGGTCTCTTCGGTCTCGAATCCTTGATTCATGAAACACTGTAAGGCATTCGATGGTCCATAAGGCCAAGGGTATGGACTTTCCCTTTCGTTTCAATTCTAAGTTTCATGTGTTTTTGGCTTTTAAAAAAATCTGTGTTCAACCTATCTAAATCATGAGTTCTTTTATGGCTACAAAATTGTGAAAAAGAAATAGCTCATACTGCAGTTAAATGGAGAAAGTAGTTCAGGTATATTTATTACTTAACGTTTAGTGCCAATAAATGGAACAAACTTCCCTAAGCAAATGAAATCAAATGGTTGAACCAGTTGTATTTATTTAGTTAGGTTAGTTATACATCAATATACCCTTTCAGTGCAGCCCCAACCTGTGTACTTTAAAAATACATACACTTCCTTAAAAACACTATAGAGGGCGGGATAAGATTTGCTTCTATAATAAATATGAGACATTTTCATAATTACAGGACGAATAAGCACGAGAATAAAAATGACGATAACTGGGGGCTCAACCGCAGTAGATGAGCATTTGATAAGATGAAAGAATATTGCATACCATGGTTTTTTATGCATATGGTTACAGGATCCAAAGACTTGCAACTTTCTGCAGCAAATTGGGTGACTTCCTTCTTGCAGAAGAATTGACCAGAACATGTTGTAATCATCACATATTTTGATTAGCCAGCACCAGCTTCAACCAAATTCATAGCGTATTTTACCCGATGGATAAGGCAACGTGCTAATGTTCAATTATTCGGGTTTAAATGATAATCACGCCACGTTTTCTTGTCATAACTTCGAGTGTAGTCTCCATGGACACCCACCTTCGAAAGCCTGCTCCAGTACGTCTTCCATCCGCTTGGCTAATATTATCTAATAAGAGAAAACAAGTAAAAAACATTGGATGGATAATTCCAATAGTGATACTAACATAGTGATAAGGCCCATTCCTATGCAAATAATTGCATGTATATTGAATCTTACCTCCAAACTAGCAAGCACGCCTGGAGGAACTTCCACTAAATCTTTCAAATTCCTCTCTGGTAGAATAACCCTCTTTATCCCATAACGATGTGCAGCTAGTATCTGCAAACGATCACTTGCATTAGCCATTCACAATCCACGAACATGTTTTAATCCATTTCTTGGACATGAATGCTTATTATATAAAACATTCACACCCTCAAACAGAGGTCAAAGCTGAAAGCTTCGAGACCAGAGATTTCTCATAGAGAACTCAATGCAAAGTGTACCACGAACACAAGGATGGCTAACAATTGCTCTAGAGGAACACACCACTTTCATGAGGTGTAAGCATTCTTCAAAAAAAAAAAAAAAAAAAAAAAAAAAAAAAAAAAAAAAAAAAAAAAAAAAAAAAAAAAACTGCACTTTCATGAAAGGATACAAGCAGAAAAAAAATGCCTAAAAAAAGGAGCCTAATTTTAACTACTGAGGAAGGACTTCGACCCATAAAAACAAAACCAAGGTTACAATTACAAGAAGGCCTCGTGACCGAATCCCACCGGGCATCACAATCGGCATACATGCATAGAAACTTGTAGACCACATGTTAATTCAAAATTTTGTAACTACTTTTACAAGAACAAAAAGGAATTGGTAGAAAAAGAAAATATTAATACACGTTCAAAATACAGTAAGAAGAAAAATATTAGATATACCTTATCCTTGATGCCACCAACAGGTAGAACAAGACCCCTCAGAGTCATCTCTCCTGTCATTGCAGTATCAGCTCTTACTCTTTTCCGACCAAACAGTGAGACCAGAGCTGTTACAAGAGTCACACCAGCTGAAGGCCCATCCTTAGGCACCGCACCAGCAGGAAAGTGTATATGAATATCACGACCCTCCAAAAGATTGGACTCACAAGCAGCTGCCAGTTTCAGATCTGTCGCCCTTGCTCTTACCTGTAATTATACAATGGTCAACCCCTTGAAAATATCTGTAAAAGGTAACAATGCCATTAAATGTGCACCATGGACGTGACAACCTTGTGTACAGGTATTAGTAGTGATTTCTAAGTCAAAACATCATGGACTGTAATAACCACTAGAGGTGGGTTACTATCAAGGCCCTGTGAGTTAAGTCAAGGTAGGTCATCCAAGCCAACGAATAGAAAAAATGATGGTAGATGTGATCCTTATATAACACGATTGAATGAGTTGCAATATTAAATTATAGCAAAGACAGATTGTTGAGTGTAGAATTTATGACATAGAACCAGTAAAGGTCAATCATTACTCATTTGTAGTGATAAAAATATGTATATGAAAACACAAGTATCAAGATGAATATGATACCCAGGTAAGGGCTATCTGAGCTGATTCTTTAATGACATCACCAAGCTGGCCAGTGAGATGTAATTCTCCCTTTCCTGACATTGCTGTAGCCTCCACGAACTGAACCTCACCCCCAAAGGCAGTCCAAACCAATCCAACGGATATCCCAGGTGTTATAACTCTCTCTGCTGCTTCTCTGTCCTCAAACCGAGGAGGCTGCAACACAGAAACAAGAATAAAAATACATGTGGAATATGCTTTCTAAAAATTCCAACCAAGAAGAAGAGAGGATAAGAAGCTTTCTAAATAGCATGTCTACTAATGATAGTTTCAACTTTCAAGGGACTGGCACATACTTATTTAACAACATACACAAGGGCATGAGAATTATTACCCCAAGAACTTTTTCAAGCATAGCCTCATCAACAACCAATGGAGAGGCTATCCTCAATGGGGTTGGTATCTCGTGATCTGCTCCAATTGGGATGACTTCCATATCTACTTCACCTCCATCAGAAAATCTATTTTCCAACAGAGGAGAAGAAACTTGATGCACATCTTTACTCAACGGGACAGTTCGATCCCTTTCCACAACTCTAACAGCAGCAGCACGAGCCAAGGAAGCCAAATTTCTCTCGAGGTTTCGTACACCAGCCTCTCTAGTGTATCTTTGAATCAGAAGTTTAACCATAGCCTATCACAATAAACAATATATTTGTAAATTGTTTTCATACATAATACAGAAAATTGTACAACAGATGTGAAACAACACATGGCATTAATGCTGCATGTCCATAGATGGAAAGAAACCAGTTTTAAGTTGAAGACAAGCTGTTACACATTATATGTTGTAGGATCTCATAACCAAACAGGCTCAAGAGAATTATTCAACACAAGAATAATAAAAATGTGCATGCATTTATAATCATCATACCATATCAGTCAGACCTAGCCTTCCTACTGTTGGGTCAGCAAAATAACTACTGGATAGCAGTAAGATGGGAACAGTAAGTACCCCCAGAAGCAAGAATCATGAGACAGCCAACACAAAGGTTCTGTAGAATATTCTTAGTTGTAATAGAGCCTCCGATAGTTGTTAGAGCATACACAGCAATTAGCACTGCAATAGGCCTCCAATGGTACAAATTTATGTACACATGCAAAAATAGAGAAAGGGAAAACAAGGAATAATGAGCACGGTACGCAAGGCTATTGAGCAGGGGAGGGTAGGCGTTTGGCTCATGATGAATGTAGGATTGATGGAGTAAAGAGAATGATGGTAGAACTAGAAAAGAGTGAGCAAAAGACAGTCAATAGACTCTTGAAACTTCTTCCCGTTGTACTCGTCTGGTACCAGTGAGAAGGATATTCTAGAAATTATCATATTGATAGAACTATTATTGTAACCATTACAGTAAGAGTTAACTACCTCTGGAATTTGAAGATATTCAGCGCTTAGCCCATGCTGTTCCAAAACTCGAGGAATCAAATGGTACATTGCAATCTTAAGTTTTTCCTCTGGTGTGTATCCAGGCAGCTCAATGACTTCCATCCTATCTAGAAGAGGAGGAGGTATGAGCTGCATTCTGTTAGCAGTGGCCACAAATACAATATTTGAAAGGTCAAATGGGACATTCAAATAACTGTTGATCATTGGTTAAAGAATCACACCGAGTAACTCGAGGAAAATGAAACAGTTCTAGAAGTTCAACAGCACTAAGCACAAAACATACTTAGCAAATTTAGATGTGAGTACATAGAAATAGTATGGACGCCAATTATATACTTAACCACAAAAAGGACATCAAAAAAGAAAGCAAAATCTACACAACATTCCTACAAAACAAAAAATAAATAAATAAGCTGATTATGCAGCCCACTCATGATTTCAACCTCATCCTCAATAAGTATCATATTTCTTTTCAAATATGAAACCTAGACATTTAATCACTATTTATTTCCTTAAGAGCCTATTATTTCTTTCAACTCTCACAAAAACAAATTTCACAAATAGAAGAAAAAAGTTGACGCCTCGGCAGACATTTCCAAGAACATTGAAGTTTTGATCTATTTAAAACCTTCAATTCAGAACCAGTACTTTGAACTCCATAGCTGCTTTTCGTTTTTTTTTTTTTTTTTTTTTTTTTTTTTTTTTTTTTTTTTTTTTTTTTTTTTTTTTTTTTTGCAAGAAAACATTTATTCACCAGGAATATCCATTACGACGGACCAAATAACACTTGACTACAAAAATGAAGTTATCAATGCCCTATCCTCGACATTCAATTTTTAAAACTAAATTATTCTTACCTTCATCCCTGCCTTCATAAAAACATACAGAAGCTAAAAGCTAACTCTATGACCAAAATGCAGGCTGTGTACAGATAAATAAATATGTTAGATTAGGATACTGATCACTGAACTTTTTGTTCTGTTCAGGGTCAAGAACCTCCAGAAGAGCTGAAGCTGGATCTCCTCGCACATCAGATCCTGTCTTGTCAATTTCATCTAATAGCATGACTGGATTGCAAACAGCTACTCTCTGTCAAATGTTAAAAATGAAATTTCAAGGGTAGATAAAGCATCAAACCTAGTCACCCAAAGATTAAGAAAAAGTCAATCAACGGCAATTAGATGAGAGGAATAACAACAAAATTTATATCTAAGACACTCTCAGTTCAATGCAGCAAAAGTAGAAACACCTAAAAAATAAAGTCTCTTTCTTACCTTAAAAAATTCTCCTATTCCTTCCTAACCACACTCCCAAAGATATTCTTACCATTGATAAGAACCTTAGCCTTCTTGAAAGGAAAAACACCCAGACTAAAGCTCACAAGGTAAGATTAGGATAAATGATGCCAGACAAAAATGGATTGTACAAGAAGCATCAAACACTATCGACTGTGATCAACCAAACAAAAGTTAAATCTAACAATAACCTGAAAGAAGCTTTGGCTAAATAAAAAATGTGAAAAAGCAGTTATTAAACCAATAGGAGGAGAGGGGAAGACCTTCAGTCCATCAATAAGACGCCCTGGCATGCTTCCAATGTATGTCCTCCTATGACCCCTAATGTCAGCCTCATCTTTAACACCACCCAGGGATATGCGTACAAATTTTCTGCCCAGAGCAGCAGCAATAGATGATGCCAAAGATGTCTTTCCCACACCTGGTGGCCCAACAAAGCACAGCACGGGACCTCTTGCATCTGGCTTAAGCTGTAAATGTTGGTTGGTGTCATCATATAACATACCAAATTTAAACTCATGATAAAAATATTGATGATTGAGAAAATGTTAGACATCAAGTTACCTTACGAACAGCAAGATATTCAATAATTCGTTGCTTGACCTTGACCAAACCATAGTGGTCACTGTCAAGACGTTCCTTTGCAGCTTTCAGGTCTAATTCAAGTTCTTCAGTTTCCTTTTTCCAAGGAAGGTCAGCTAGAAGCTCAAGGTAAACACGCAAACTGTTGTACCCAGGTTGTTGAGGTTGCATCTTTTTAAGGCTCCTATGAAGGTTATAGAAGTAAAGGTGAAAAATTGGCCGTTATATAAAAATCTCAGCTGATCAGAGATTCAGAATGCAGCTAGGAAAATTAGCAAACCATGATAGAGTATATCAAAATCAGAGGCACGTCAATGTCATTGATCATTTCTTGTAGAAACATTAATTATTCTAGCCAGTTTCCAAGGTTGGTTGTGCATGTTTGATATTGCGTATAGCATCACAAAGCTACTTCCCTTGGTACTTGTCAATAGAATATTTTAGGCCTCTACCAGTGGCCGTCTTTGCTCCAGGCAAGGATATCATTTTGATACCAAATGTTGCAGCCTACAGATAGGAATTCCTTGATAATACTGATATACTAAAGAGCTCAGAAAGGCAAAAGATCCCCTTCACAGCAGCTAACAGTTAACCCAATAATGCTTAACAGAGATCTAGTAGTAACGTATAAGAAAACAAATGGAGTAACAACAAAAACATTAAGCTGTTAAATGGTAACTCCCCTACCTTATGTACCAGTTACCCTCCAAAAGTGGCAGGAGAGAGTCTAGTTTATTCTACATCACCCAAGCCCAAGCACAAGAGCACACTCCTTATTTACTCCAATGGACCGGTCTTTTGAGGCATTTCTTATGTTCTTTTTAATTGTAGTGACCATTTTATTGCGGGCACCCTCACTAATCCATGGGAAGATGTTGCATGCCCCCACACTAGCAGCAAGGGAAATCAAGAGATTTTATTTATTAAGTTTTCCATCTGAAGATTAGAGTCCAAGACTTTGATGTTCCCCCCGGGACTGCCCTAGGAGGCCTTCAATCTTGATTGAGCACGCCCAATGAGTGGGAGGAAAATTCAGTTCGTTATTCACTTATCACCCTGTATCTCTATAAGGTTTAAGATTGTTTTTCCCTCACCGACAACTAAGGGTACACTTAGTAAAGCTTTTTACTGGACTTTTTTTTCTTTCCTATCTTTGAGCAATAAATTAATTGAAGCACTTAGTTCTTATACTTGTAAGCAATGGCACACACGTTTTCTTTTCTTATTTTTTTTAGGACTGCATGAATCATATCAGATAATAATATTCAAAGATATAATTTTCAGAAAAAGTTCTTAAAACATCCGCTTTTATCAAGCTGTAAAACCAACGGTCAGACTACACTTCCCACCACAAGATTAGATATAACCACCATTTCAACAATAAAAAACAAAACAAGGAGAAATTATTTCACTATCTTTTTTCCCTGTGTTTTGCTAGTCCTAACTATGGTTAGCAAATTAAAACTTTTTCTGCATAAAAAAGAAACCTATACTACGTCTTCTCAGAAAGTCATACCTCAACTCCCTCTGAGCATGCTTCCAGATATTGGCAGGCATTTCAGCACTTTGCATCTTTCTTTCCAGGGCAACAAAATCATCTTCATCATCATCATCACCAAGCTCCTCCTTTATTGCCCTCATCTACACATCATGCAATAAATGACAAGGGTGGTTGGTAGTCTGGGATAGTTATGATGAGCCAGCAACGCCAGTCATCAGATTAGTATTACCTACTAATTACCATCTACCGAATCACATGGTGAAACCTGACCTTTATCAGATGACCATAACTGATATCTCAGAAAAAATTGAAATTAATCTCAATAAGAACCTCAGTAAATTATATTCCTTGAAAATGAAATTACATTGGAACAAACACGTAATCAAAACCACAATCAGTTTATATTTAAGTTGAACATAGCATTTCTAATAAAGTAATAAAATTAACTATAAGTGTTGAGGTTAGCCGATTGTTTGAAAAGATTGTTAGATGTTACTAATGTAAAAACCAAAAATGACACTATAGAATTCAACATACTTGGTTGTTAATAATGTAAAACCATATGCATCAATAACTAAGACAGCAGGTATCCAGCAAAATAGAATTCAACAAATTTATGGACTTTCACAATTATAGATAAATAACATGCCATTAGACATGACACCATGGATAAAGCATCAACTCCAACGCCCATCCATCTTGTAGTGATAATGTATACAAACTCAGTAACAACGTGAAAGAACAAAAATCTTGGATATAATGTGATGTTCCTACTGCTTGACTACAGAAAAACTATAATTACGGTGAGAAAGCTAACCTGCTGACGCAAGAGAAATTCTTTCTGTGATTTTGATAATTGTCCTTCTACTTTCTGCGTAATCTTCTCTGCTACACGTATTGACTGTTGCAAGATAATAACAACATGACTCCACAAGAAGAAAAGGGAAAAGTGAAGAGAACATTCATTATTGTTTACTCTTTGATATAAGACTTGCCTGTAAATGCCTGTCAACTAATTCCATTGCTTTGGAAAGCCTTACTCCTAAGTCAACCGAATCCAGCATGCATAATTGCTCTTCAAAACTCATCTCAAAACTGGCAACAAATATATCAGCCAGTTTATGAACTGGAACTGTATCCACAAGAACTTTTGTTCTTCCTTCAGTTTTTTGTTTCTAGAAGTGGAAAAAGGTGTGAATTACTGTCCCAGAGATGACATAGACGTATATAGTAATTACAGAAGTGATAGATGAACTTGGTTTTAACAGAGATAGGAATAAATATAATCTAGAAAAGTAAAATCTCTGTTGATAAACAAAATTTTCCATTGATCATTGATTCTTTTTCCTTTTTGTCCTTTTTTTTTTTTTTTTTTTTTTTTTTTTTTTTTTTTTTTTT